TTAACATGAACGTGTTACAGTTACTTACAATTTTGAATGTTAACAATCATATAAAAAATAAATGTAGATAATTTAGCAGCATCCCACAGAATCCGGTAAACCATAGGGTTAGAAGATGAAAGGCAAACAAACAATGATTGTCTATTCAATTTAATGAAAATTTCTTTTGATATAAATTCCTGTGCAACTGTTTTATCTAAGATGCAAAATTATTCAATATTCATCGATTTTTTTATATATATCATTGAAATTATTATTATTATTATATTTTGGTGTGTGTATGTCGTCTTTAGCTACTACAGATCTGGGAATTGATGTCACAAAGCGAGCTGTCAGCCAATCAGCTTCGCTTTTACAGGACCAGTATGACTGTGGCTATAAGGTTCTGCTTGATACTTTTATATTAAACTTTATTGAGATAAGAGCCCTGGGATCCCAGGTCCGGGGTTGCACCACTCCCAAGTGGGAATCCTGCAGGGCCAGGAGGGTATACCATTGAAATTAAACACTGAAGTTGTTACATCAGAAGCTGAATCATTACAATAGTTTGCAGTATGTGCTTATGGTAGTTGGTTCTGCACAGGTTTTTGCCGCGGATCATTGAATTGTGGCACTTCAACCTTGTTCCTTGGGCAGACCAATAGCAAACAATTAAGATCAACATTTGCTTATTAATAAAAAAATGTGCCGGGCATGCATAAATAAATAATATTGTTTAATGGGCAAAATACAAAAACAGCAGTATTTCTGTGAGGTACTTTGTGCAAAAACTGCCATATCCAATTCTCCATTCCTGTTTAGGTAACGAAATACAGGAATTGAGGCTGTTCTGAAAGTTAAGAGAGACCCAGTTATCCTTTCTCCTTTTGTTTTCTGAACATGCTGCACATTCTAACAGCAGAACTGACCAAAAACCCTTTTTAAGATTTCTGGCTTAAGGACAGATCTATGCGGTGCCAGTAAACAGCTTTATTAATGACTTTGCAGAATAAATTCCCGTGGCATTAAATCAAACTTTATTACCACTGAATAGTCAAAGTTTATGTTGGCTGTTTGACCAGATATTGCAAAACTATATAGACCTTTTGCTGTTTTGCAGCTGTTTTTCATTTTCATCTATAGCCTTAAATACACTGATTGGAACTATGTGATGATCGACAATAAATAACTCATAACTGTGAAGTTCAGGAACAATAATGTGGGATTTTCCAGTTTCTTTTTAGAGAGATATCGAAACAGAGTTATATGCATTCTAGATATTTGTTATAGAACATAAGTTAACAAACAGAATAATGGAGACCAACAAATACAGCAAATAGGTCAGGGGGGAAATTAGCAATAGTTTAAAGCAGAGTTATGTTAAGAAAAAAAGTTTAAGCTTTGAATTCTCACAGAGTTCTCTTCAATCCATCATCTGACTATTAAATTACTAAAGGGTAAAAGGCCAATCGATAAAGAATGGGAAAAAAAAGTTAAACTATCGCAGATAGTTCTCTCCAGAGGGACTTCAACCGTAAAACACATGCAGAGCTGCAATCAAAATGTTACCTTCAAGCCATATTAATGTGGTGGGCCCTGTCAAAGTCCAGACCTGAACCCATAACTGAATATCTGCAGCTTTTTTAAATAAAATAGTTAAAAATATCACCATAGTCTTACGTAAAAGCAGAGACTGACTCATACTCATACTGACTCAGAAATTCATTTAAAGTAGAAACTTTACATTTAAACACAGCTTTTTTTGGTATATCTATAGCAAACTTCCAAACATTTCAGGTTGTGGTGGTAATGTAATAATTTGTAAAAAATGGAGAGCTACACAGCTGCATCTGTGAAAATTCAGAGGACTCCATCTGTAAATGATTTTCTAAACTTCTAAATTGGCCTTGTAATTTATGGGCAACTTTTCCTCCACTTTGAATATTTTGTGGAGAAATTATCCCACATCCAAATACAAGATTACTTCAGAGGATACGTTAGCTGCACATGCATCAGCAAGGTAATGACTTCAGCCTGTCTGTTGTTGCAGTGGGACAAAAAAACAACAAAAAACAAGGATGGTGCAACAGCTTGGCTTTTAGCAGCTGTGCAGCTTACGCTCCTCATCGTTCCTATTATCAAGATTGATGCTGTGATGATCAAAACTGGCCCATGATAAAAAGAGCGGCATCAAAGAAACCTGAGAGACCTCACACAAAAACTTTTTTTTTTCTGTGCACAGATGGGTTTAGAGATGCTAATAGTATTGACACACCAGCAGTGAATAGTCATATTTATATGCAAATGAATCGTAATCCATACTTTAAGCAATAAAAAAAATATATTACATTTGGGTTTATTTTAAAGTTTGAGGCGGAAGAAAGAGAGAGAGAAAGGGGATAAAATAAACGCTAAATTAACCTGAACCGGTATCTTCTTCATTATATTTGACTGATATTTGAACCCTGTAGTCCTTAGTGTATCGTAGCTTATACATGAGTTTTCAGAACTCTATGTATCAGTCTGGTGCTTTGTTTTGTTCTTTAGCAGAAGGAGCAGTGCACATACTGCATGGAAATGCCTAATGCGCTAAATATTATATTAATTAAAACAAAATGCAAATTGATATCTACCTTTTCATTTATCCTTTCTCATGTTATATGAAGACTTTAGTGTAAGAAAAAAAATCAAATTTTCTGACCATTATTTCATGATTCAGGCTTTATGGGGCTGAGACATTTCTAATCAGCTATTTTGACGTGGAATAGCATGACTAAGAATTCGACATGTCTACAGTCCCAAAGGTTCTCTCATAAAAATGGTTTCTTCTATTTACCTCATTACCATCACCCAGTGCTGCTCAGCTATGGTTACCTGTCAAAAGTAAGAGCTACCAATTAACATCAGAGAATTTCTAGATGCATCTAACATAGAAGTTAAAAACAATGAAAAATGGAGACAATATTGTCAGTTTGCAAGAAATTTTGTTTTGTACGACAGTTGTTTACTTGGATAAAATGATCCTTCCTCCTATCAAGCATGAAATAAAGGACTTTATTGTTTAGTTGCTTCTTTTTTTGAATTTTCACTCTTTCTTAATTAATCTTATACCACCGGAAAGCTCGCAAAAGACATTTTTAAGTTATCCAGGCTCCAGATAGGCAGAACTAAACATTTAATGTAGGGGTGGTTATCAGTTATCTGCATTTTGACTTTGTGAACATTAATATGTTTAGGAGGCTTTGGGCAAAAGAAGTAAAGATTTGTGTGTTCTGTAATTTGCGATTTATAAATAATGAAACAAAAACTATGACAAAATCTAAAAAAATTGGTGGTGTGTGTATAAATATTTTCCAGTTGTCACATTTCCCTGTATTATGCATTTGTATTTTTAAAATGAGTAAGGTCATTTACGTCCTAATCTTAGTCTTAATAATCTTTCCTCCTTTGTGTCTCCCCCAGTTATATTTCCTGCTGTGCTTTTGATCCTATAAAACCATCTTCCTTTTCTTTCCCGTCTCTAATTTTCTCCCACATTTTCTCCAGTTCTTGATTAATTATCCACTATGTTTTACTTAAATGAGATCTAAAGTTCTTCCTATATTTGGGAGGTTTGCAAAGCAATGTTCAATAAAGCACCAGGGTTGGAAAATAATTAATTACATTTACTCACATTAGTGTACCTAAGTACAATTTTCTGTATTTTGCATTTAAAAGCAGTTTTACAAATACTAAACTAACTTCTTCTTGGGTAGGTTATAAGTTAAGTATTTACTTAGTTGCATTTAAAATACATGTTTCTAAATAAAAGTAAAAACTAGGTAAAATGAAAGGAAATGTACAAAAGAAGGAAAAGCCCAGTTATGCTTCATAGCTACTGGGAAAGGATGTGAAGGGCATGGTGCAGCAGAGAAGGATGCTGGGATGGAAGAAATGATCAGCTTTGGAGAACCCTGCAACCGAAAACAGCTGCTGAAAAAAGAACTTTGGGAAATTACATTTTATCCCATAAACAAAACCACAGTACCTTTCAAAGATTTTTTAATTTTTGATCTAAAGTGCCTCAAGACAACTGGGGCTGTGAATTGGAACTATATAAATAATCTGACAAATTTTACTTTTGTGTTGCATTTTCTTTTATAAACATGCTTCTTTAATTATAAACAGTTTTAAACCAATATCTCCTATTTTTCTTTCTGAAATTAATGGGAGCGTTTCATCTTTTCACAAATAAGTAACCAAGTAGCTTTTACTTTTTAACTTCAAAGTCGTAGGGAAGTGACTCTTCCAACGGCTGCAGTTCCGAATTCTCCCGAGTGGTTCACAGCTTTACAGTAGTGAATAAAGTGAATGTAATTGGTCGTTTATCAAGAGGGCGGGATTGTTGTGGCAGAAGGTTTGCAAGCTATTTGGTTGTGGCCAGTTTGTCGGAAGCATCTTGCTAACCAGTTAGCAACTTAGTGCTACAGTAGTAGGTTCCCAATGGGAAATTCCATTGGGACCAAGTAGCACTAAATAGGTGACTTAGAAACGACACTGTCAAGGAACGCTATGGACATCGGAAACACGCAAGAGGAGGAGAGTTTAGTGTCGGAGGTCATGGATGAGTCTCCTCAGTCATACATTTTTTACTTAGAGGAGGAAAGCGGGGACAAAGATGTTGTGGAAGAGGACGCCAGGGCAGCAGAAGCTTGGTTTGGTGTAGAAGGCTTACAGCCGTACATGTTTGAGCCCTTGCCTCGCAACACTGCCAGTTCTGTTAGCTCTACGCCTGCAGAAGACACAGACGTCCATCCCGGTGAACACTGGGATGTAACTCAATGGGAAAGCAAATTGTTCTTTTTTTCAATCGTTGCATATATTAGCTGCAACATATGAATCAAGATTCTGTGACTGAAAAAATTTGATTGACAGATGACCGTTGATATATGATTGGCCGAATTTAGGTGTTCAGGCTGACGTATAACTAACTGGCCTGCATAAGATAACGAAAAAAAACCAAAGATTTTAAGAGGATTAAAAAAAAAAAAGAATCTAAATTTGGGACAATATCATCCGATAAAGAGTACATTTCTATACACGTTTGAGCTAGAATGATTTGACATTTAAGTATAACTTCCAACGGCTTTAAACTTTTACTGGGGTAAAACTTCACAATGGTAACTTTCCTTGTTGCTAAGGAAAATTGCATCAAACCAACTGTAATTTGCCTAAATTATTTTTATTCTACCACTGCAGAACACAAGCTACTGCACAATAGTGACCTGGGGCTGTAACATGTCTATCATAGGGTTGGCGGGGTCAATCAGATTTGAGATGAGATGGCTCCACCCCTGTAGATAAGATTCTGTTACCAGCAGCAATCATTTATCTCTAGAGTAAATCTCGAATCTGAAAGTGCACTTTTTCTCAGAGTGACCAAACCACATTGGCTGGTTTGTATATTTTATATACAGGCATGCTCACCTTGATCTTTCATTTTAAGAATAACTGCTTAAAACAAATTTAAGTCTGATTAGAAGCTTATCCTTATATATTAAACATGCATCAAAACCAATTCCATCACATCCAGGGAAGCAGTTTAGAGGGATTCTTTATGCAGGCTGAAACGGAAAAAAATGAAGGTGAACACAGAGTAAAACAGAACCTCTAAAAAGGATCTGTTTTTGTCTTCATGCCGAAGGAAGTTCATGGAGAGACCAAATTAGAAGTGAGCCAGCACGAGTCAAGAATAGCAGGAGTTTCCTTGTCATTCAGTCACCGCTGTGCCCACTCAAAAAAACAAAGATTATTTTTAGTATAGTTTTTCCATCCGTCCTTTTTTGCTCACAAATGGTAAGCTTAGGATTTGTTTTCCATAATTTTTCTTCCATTGTTTCTTGTCTCCGCCCTTTCTTCTGTGCTCTTCTCATCTGCTTTGGTTCATCATCCATTCTGTAAAGGGAGACGTAAGACAGAGCAAAGAGGTTAATATAGAGGCTGCAAATCCTTCAGCACATTTACACTCTCATTCACAATCTTAGACATTTGCTCTAGATGCTATTTTTGGAAACAGAATGCAAATAACCGTTTTCAGTTTCCATGGATACTAAGTAAATTTGGCAGATCTAATAAAATGTCTTATGTTGAATACTAATACAGAGTTCAATCTCCAAGAATTTTTTACAGGATGAAAAAAAAAAAATTGCACAAGTTCTGCAGGTTCAGCACCAGTATTGGAATTAAATTATGCATCTCTGCACATCTTACACACTCACTTCAGTTAAATCTGAACCCAAGTGTGAAGACAACTTTTGTCTTTGTATGAAGGCATTAATAAATGATAACAGAATGGATTTTTTTCCCTATTTATAATTTAAAGGTATTTTCCATTTGGCTCAATGACTCTTGAAAATCAATATTTTTTTTGTATTTTTTATTTTTTTTTTTTATTCGTGTGTTGTTTCTTTAAGTTAAGATGAAGGACATGGCAAAAGTCATCTTTAACTTCCAATAGTGCAACAGTGTTTAAAGTCATTTTCTTTATTATAGTTTTAGTCAGCTTTGAGCAAATGTAGTTATATCATTAATAAAAGTAATATCTACCAGCACCAGGTTGGTTTGTGTCTTCTTTTTATTTCATTTTTTTAGTCTGGCAAGTTCCAGAAAAGCTTAATGTGCATCAGAAGAGTTGACAGGCAAAATGCTGCCAACAACAGCTTGAAGCTCTCAGTGGATTAGAAAATTGCTCAGAGAAAAAAAGAAACCCACATGTGATAGCACACATTGCACATTACATTGCAAAGAGCACCATTAGGTAATAGGATCTGCCAAATGTCACTATATTTAATGAAAACTATCTTTGTCCGCCATTGCCTGCTTTCTCTGTTTCTTCCCCCAGAATTTGACACACATAGGGCCGGATCTATCAAAGGTTTGCGTGTATAAAAACGTGAGCTATTTCACTGCGCACGCTAAAAAATGTACAAACTGATCTATCAACAGCGTGCTAAAATGATTTGGTCTTTAAAACGTGCTAAATAGCGCCTCTTATCCATTTAGTACTTTTTCTGCAATGAATATGCAATATGAGGCGTTTACACGCAAAAGTGCGTCTTGTGGGAGGAGAACATGTAAATATATTAATTTAGCACTCGCAAAGTGATTTATTAAACCTGAAAGCAATTTTGCTAACGGTATCTGACTCTATATTTAACACGTTTCAAAAGAAGGTGCAAATGGTCTGTATGCGTAATTGCGCACACATGGCAGCGGTTATAGTCGCAAGAAGGAGACATGGAAATGAAGCAGGGAGACGCAGAGAACGCATTTTTTCACTCCGTGTGAATATTTTTGCAATGAAGGAGGAAACGATCGGAATAAACGAGGAAACGATCATCAAAACATATCGTTTATCCAGCATTGCCATTTTGGAGCTGTTGGGGGAACTCAGAATGGATTTGGAGCCAGCCACAAGGAGGACCCACGCAATACCAGATATCACAAAACTCCTTGCAACATTGCACTTTTTTTGCATCTGGGTCATTCCAGCGTACGGTTGCAGCGAGAGCTGGGATCTCCCAATCTCGTTTTTTCAGAAGTGCTGTCCGACGTGCTGTCCGACGGGGTCGGGGTTCTCCCCCTGCGCCTGTGGAGCAACGTGCCAAATGCTGCGGGTATGCGTACGCGCAGCACACATATTCAGCCACATACCACCTTAGGGAATAAAGGTTGCCAAAGTTTATATATATATATATATATTATATATATATATATATATATATATATATATATATATATATATATATATATATATATATATATATAATATATTATTAGTTTTTTTTTGTTGGGGGTCACTGTAAGATTTAAATTTCTTAATGCACTAGTTTGTACAAACTACTTTGCCGCAAACCACAAAACGCGCAAAACCATCATTTAAATAGGGCGTCTCCAAGAGTTTTGCACCTGCCACCAGTTACGCAATCACTCTTGTTAAATCACCCGCAAACCATGGTTCAGCCCCTCGCGCAAAATTCCAGTTTGCGAGCGCAAATTACTGCACGCAAAATTGGATCTTGATAAATCCGGCCCATAGTGAAGATGTTTTGTTTCTTCTTTATCTTTACTGGCTTAGTAGTTTCTGTATTTGTAAAGATTAAAATGTTCCATGAAAAGGCAAAGGGACGGGAACTAAAATTCAACTTGTGCCAAAAAAAGACAAATTTTATTCAAATTTACCTGCAAAACAGCTGTGGTGAACACTTCATAGCACCAGAGCAAAACAAGGAAGGTGGCAAATTCCTTTGTTAGAAGAGTCAAATTTTGCTCATAAATATTGTGTTTTGACAATTTTTTCTTTACCCACACAAAGGTTGTTTTTAGACTCCACACCCTCAGTTGGATCATGTCCACGACGAGTCAAACAGCAAAACAGAACTTTTATTGAGTTAGAGAGACTGGGGTGTTCACACACTCACATGTCATGATTCAGGATTCTTAAGATTAATATTTAATTTCAACAGGTTTTTTGAGGAGAAAATAATAATCAAATTTCGTTTTTAAATAAATGAAGTAAATAATTCACTGGTCCCAAACAGTTGTTATGGCATGTCATTATTATATAATAAATCTGTGGAGATTTGACCAGTGTAATAGTGTAAATCACCTTATTATTGCTAATTTTTTTTACTAATTTCAATGTAACTTATTTTTTTCTAAAACACGGACTGACAACAGTTTTAAAGAAACAAAATTCAGGTTGAAAGACCATTAATATCCACATGTTCAAATGTAGAGGGTAAATAAAAGGTCAATAGAACAATAAATAAATTCACCAAAAATACATTTACCAAAACCTGAAGTGTAGTAAAAAAAAAAAAAAAAAAATCTATTTTAAGTTTTTCTTGACTGTTAACTCTGCACAAAATAATACATGCCCACAGTCTTCCATCAGTTATTTCACTAAATCAAGCTGTCACAGTCCACGTTTTCTAGTTTTAGGGGTTTAATTCTTATTTTGTTGTGTTTTCTGGTTATTTTCATATTTCAGGTTTTTATTTGTTGCCCTCTGCTGCCCTCTTGTGTTCTCCTTTTTCTCTAGCTCCTTTCCTGTTCTGCTCTGTTCACACCTGCTCCCAATCTGCTCATTAGTCCTCTCTTTGTTTCAGTCTCCCATAAATACACTCTTTGTGCAGTTCCTCAGTGCTGGTTCCTCGTCTAACTTCCTTCAACTCCATCTGAGTCTTCCTCCCCGTGATTGTTTTCCCCCAGATGTCTCCTTGGTTTCTGGTTTGCTTGATTTTTGAATTTTTGGATGGTTTACCTATCATTAAATCATCAAGAAACTCACCTCTGCCTCCCTGCCTCTGCATTTGGGTCCTCAAACCTCTACCAAATCCTGACACAAGCTTTAATTTCAACGAATATAAATTCCTCTCAGCACACAAACTATTTAATAGATAAATATTTTCAAGAAGATTTTGAACATGAATGGGCAAAATGAGGAACACTATACTAAAAGCAAATCACAAATCATGACTTTGACCTGTTTTCCTCCAGTGTTTCACTTGCTGCAGACAATAGACAACTGTGGGTTTACATTTTATTACATCATTTATTTTATACAGTACCCTTAAAGTCAGAACACTGAAAAACAGGTTATAAACTGTTCAGGATATTTCTTTTTCCCGCAAAAAATGACATTCAACCAACATGAGGTTTTTCATTGTGCTACACATACAAAAAAACTGAAATTCAGTGTACAAAATAAATAAATAAACACTAGGCTGTATGGTTCCATGCAATCCAATGTCGGCCTCCATTGCATCAAAACCGAAGGTCTCACCTGTGGCCCCTTTCTGCACCAGCTCTGATTGCTGAATGTAAAACTGAAAGGTGTTTGCCCATGTGATAAGTCGTGTTCAAAGTCTGGCAAATTGCTTTTGGTGTTTTGATTGAAAGAGTGTGTCTTTTATAAAAATAAATCTATTAAAAACCTGGATTTTTTTTATACTCTTGACGTTTCTGGAACAAAGATCTGTTTTAAAGCCCAACAGTTAAAGATGAATAAAGTATCCTGTCAACTATGCACACATGCTGTAGGTAATAACATGGACTTTAGAGAAGTTACAGATGTCTGCAATTTTAGACCACTCATCTAATGAAATGAATGTGAAGTGATTAATCTGAAGCACTCCAGTTGATTTTTAGATTTTTTTTTAGGTTTTAATATTTTCTTGAGAATAAATCACAGTGCTTTAAGATTAAAGTCTAACAGCTAAATTCTAATCATTCTGAAATGAGAAAATGCCATATTGTGTTGAAGTGTCCAAGAAAGGAACCCTACTGATTCTATAAATTTGAAAAAAAAATTAAAATTAAGTACTTGTTCTCTTGTGCCTTGGAAATAAAAGTAAAAATGAAAAATAAATAAACTTACTTACAATTAAATAAAAATTAAACTTTGTATACAATTAAACATTGAGCTATATTTGTGATATAGCTTAATGGAAACAAACTATTTATCCATATTAGGGTTGGTTCCAGTGTTAATTTCGTCAACCATGATGATGATGAAAATATTTCGTCAACGCCTCTTTTTTCCGTGACAATGACAAGACGATAACGAACAAAAATAGTTTCCAGAAAATAAAAATATGACGAAAATGAAAAACGATTTTCGTCAACGAGAGTAAGACTAGACGAAATTTACGATCCATTGACAAATGGACATTAAGAAATATAATTGTTTATAATTAATTTGTAATTGTTAATATAAGTGTTTCTTGAGCTTCATAGAAGATTACACATTGTTGCACTGTTTGTCCCTACACAGCGCCTATCCAACAGTGCCTCGTGCCACTTAGTCAGTAGTAGCACAGGGCTAATACTCATAGCTCAACTTCGCAGTCATTGCAGACACCGGTGTGCGGTTTGTTAAACAATGGCTGGAT